AACGTTTATAACGTTATTTATACAAAATTGGTGACGTTAGGAACTTATCTTGGCGTGTACTATATAAATAAATTTAGCATCTTATGTATTAGTAAAAATGAGTTATTCAAGTTTTCAATTAGAAATATATACAATATTTCCAAACATGTGATAAAGCTAAATATCAAATAATTTAAACTCTTCTATTTCAATTGCTCAAGAACGTAGAACACCTAAGACTAGATCGAACTGACATTTGCCAGAATTTCAACAGATTCAGAAATCAATTTGTTTTAAGGAAGCCGATGTATTGAATCTTTTCCCCTCATTTTTGTTTTCTTAGCGTTATAGCTTCGTTAAGCAGAAAAACCACTTCTACAAGTGCTCCAAAGAATTGTACAAAAAATATTTTTATTTGAGGGTTAGTGACCACATTTAATCATATAGTCAATAATAAATGAAAGGTATCAATAATAAAGTTTGATGGAGAAGCTTTGTATGAAGTAAAGACATGATAATACATACAAGATACAAATATAAACACCTCTATAACTACATACGTAAGCACTTTGAAAATATAAACACCTCTATAACTACGTACGTAAGCACTTTGAAAATATAAACACCTCTATAACTACATACGTAAGCACTTTGAAAATGATTTTAGTTTTGTTTTTTCTCGACAAATATAAATGAAGAAAGTAAAACGACACGTAGTGGTTAATTTTAGATTCAACAGTAGACATTTCTCCTACCTAAATTAATTCAAAATCACAATTCGTAATTAACAAAGAAATATCTCCTAAACATGAAATAGGTTTAGATACAATAAGATTTTTCAAGTAAAGTTTTAGCAAGTGTAAGGTACTGCAAATAATTGTTTAAAATCTTAAAAACCTATTGGCAGATAATCATACGAATCTTTAATGATTTAAGAAACGTACTCTACCTACTAAAAGTCATCGAAACGTTAATTTGTCTTGTAAAAATACAAACACCCACATATACCAGTGGAATCTCATTAACTTCACATCCTAGTTGGTAGAAAATGTTTGTAGTTATGCACAAAGCTACACAATGGGCTATCTGTGTTCTGCCCACCACGGGTATCGAAACCAGGTTTCTAGCGTTGTAACTCCGCAGACATACTGCTATGCCACTGGGGGGCAATAATATAGTTAAAGTATTTAGAATATATATTACAGGTATACATATTTTGAATTTGAAATCACTAAAATTAAATAAAAATTATTTCTAAAGAAGTAAAATTGTTAGCTGCTAACAAAGCTTGCGTGTATATTTATCATTTAAAATGTTTATTACCTTATTGTTTTGAATTTCGCGCAAAGCTACACGAGGGCTATCAGCGCTAGCCGTCTCTAATTTAGCAGTGTAAAACTAGAAGGAGGGCAGCTAGTCATCACCACCCACCGCCAACTCTTGGGCTACTCTTTTACCAACGAACAGTGGGATTGACCGTCACGTTATAATGCCCCCACGGCTGAAAGGGCGAGCATGGTTGGTGGTATGGGGATTCGAACCTGCGACCCTCAGATTGCGAGTCGAGCGCCCTAACCACCTGGCCATGCCGGGCCTTATTACCTTAAAATCAACCGTTATAAATATTAGATCCCATTAAAAAAGTTGTTTCTTTTATGTAAGAAATATTTACAGGTAGGTGCCAAAAGAACATTCATACTGATATGCATACGTTTTTTACACGACCAATATCTTACTCATGTGTTTTAATGATTAATCCATTCTTTACTTATACCTGCAGTTTAGCACGTAAAGTATGTAATGACAAATATTCACGAGGTTTGTCCTGAGATGTAACTCATATGTGTTAGTTGGTTGTTTTCGAGTATTTGCGCATAGCTAATCTAGGGTTATCTGCAATTGCCGTCTTTTGAGCTGATAGATTAGAGCAGTGTTTCCCAAAATGAGAACCGCAGCCCCTTGGGTGTGTGAAGTTTTTTTCTGGGGGGCTGCCAAAAATGGGCCGAAAACAAAGATGCTGAATTAATTTTAATTCTAAATAAACAATAATCCGATAAAACTTGTCGGAATTAATTAATTAAATGATAGAGTTCGTCGAAAGTAGATGTTATTATTTTTACTATGGCACTTTTTTTCAATCACCATGCTAAAGTTATAGGTTGGGGGGGGAGGCTCAAACCTTTTTATTCAGATCAAGGGAGCCTCAGACTAAAAGGGTTTAGGAAGCACTGGATTATAAGGAAGGCAGCTATTCAACAGCACCGATCGACAACTCTTGGGCTACTTTTCTCTGACATAATAGTGGGATTTGATCTTCACTCTTATAACGCACCCACGGCTCAAAGAATGATTATTATTTTCTGCGATAACGTGACACCCGACCTAGTGGTTTGTCGGACTGTGGACCTGCAGTTGCAGCGTTCGCGTCCCACGAAAAGAATGATAAAAAGTTCCCTGCAGCAAAAAATGGTTTAATATAAACTCAAGTTAGAAATGTTGCCCGATAGTCAAAAGTTGCAAGACGATTTTAATCTTTAGAAGAAACCCCCGGTAAGAAAAGGGTTAATGTTTCTTCGATTTCTTGCTTTACACTATAGTTCTTAATAAAGAACCGTTTTAAAGCTATTTTATTTGATGTTGTGAAAAATTAAGAAGAAAATAGGCTAATTCTAGTCAAACCACAAAAAAGATAAAACAGAGGACGAAAAACGAATAGATAAAAATGGCTATTGACTTTCTTTCATTTTAATTAATGCCTTCCAGTTTTTCAACTATATTTCATATCCTGCCAAAATGAAGATTTGTCGTTTTAAATGACATATAGACTAAAACTGAACACTTTAGTTAACAGCACTTTCACAAATATTATGGTACCCGCGCAGACATAATAACGTCAAAAAATATAAAAATATTAAATAGGGAACTATAAATGAGATATAGACTAATTCTTTAACATTAGTTAAATATTTTTAGCTGAATATTAGGCTTCAGAAAATATTTATTTTCTGCCGATGAATTTTCTTAAATTAATAAAGGAAAGATTCTGGCAGTTGTGGCAGACATTTATACTGGTATTCACAGTAAGTTGATACTGTGAATA